TTTATGACCCCCGACCTGTCAAAATTTGCAAAAAATGGGTTTGCAGAAAAGTGACCAGATCCCAGCACTGCTTATCCCAAACTTTTTGAAATTTTTACCCGATTTAAAAGTGGAATACCTCTCTGAATTTGCTATTAAAATATCTATCTAGCTGCATTATTGGTTTATTTTCGAATTTTTGGTCAATATTTTGTAATTTTTTATGACCCCCCGACCTGTCAAAATTTGCAAAAAATGGGTTTGCAGAAAAGTGACCAGATCCCAGCACTGCTTAGCCCAAACTTTTGAAATTTTTACCCGATTTAAAAGTGGAATACCTCTCTGAATTTGTTGTTAAAATATCTATCTAGCTGCATTATTGGTTTATTTTCGAATTTTTGGTTAATATTTTGTAGTTTTTTATGACCCCCGACCTGTCAAAATTTGCAAAAAATGGGTTTGCAGAAAAGTGACCAGATCCCAGCACTGCTTAGCCCAAACTTTTGAAATTTTTACCCGATTTAAAAGTGGAATACCTCTCTGAATTTGTTGTTAAAATATCTATCTAGCTGCATTATTGGTTTATTTTCGAATTTTTGGTCAATATTTTGTAATTTTTTATGACCCCCGACCTGTCAAAATTTGCAAAAAAATGGGTTTGCAGAAAAGTGACAAGATCCCAGCACTGCTTATCCCATAACTTTTGAAATTTTTACCCGATTTAAAAGTGGAATGCCTCTCTGAATTTGTTATTAAAATATCTATCTAGCTACATCATTGGTTTATTTTCGAATTTTTGGTCAATGTTTCGTCATTTTTTATGACCCCCGACCTGTCAAAATTTTCAAAAAATGGGTTTGCAGAAAAGTGACCAGAACCCAGCACTGCTTAGCCCATAACTTTTGAAATTTTTACCCGATTTAAAAGTGGAATACCTCTCTGAATTTGTTATTAAAATATCTATCTAGCTGCATTATTGGTTTATTTTCGAATTTTTGGTCAATATTTTGTAGTTTTTTATGACCCCCGACTTGTTAAAATTTGCAAAAAATGGGTTTGCAGAAAAGTGACCAGATCCCAGCACTGCTTATCCCAAACCTTTTGAAATTTTTACCCGATTTAAAAGTGGAATACCTCTCTGAATTTTGTTATTAGAATATCTATCTAGCTGCATTATTGGTTTATTTTCGAATTTTTGGTCAATGTTTCATCATTTTTTATGACCCCCGACCTGTCAAAATTTGCAAAAAATGGGTTTGCAGAAAAGTGACCAGAACCCAGCACTGCTTAGCCCATAACTTTTGAAATTTTTACCCGACTTAAAAGTGGAATACCTCTCTGAATTTGTTATTTAAATATCTATCTAGCTGCATTATTGGTTTATTTTCGAATTTTTGGTCAATATTTTGTAATTTTTTATGACCCCGACCTGTCAAAATTTGCAAAAAATGGGTTTGCAGAAAAGTGACCAGATCCCAGCACTGCTTAGCCCAAACTTTTGAAATTTGTACCCGATTTAAAAGTGGAATACCTCTCTGAATTTGTTGTTAAAATATCTATCTAGCTGCATTATTGGTTTATTTTCGAATTTTTGGTCAATATTTTGTAATTTTTTATGACCCCCGACCTGTCAAAATTTGCAAAAAAAATGGGTTTGCAGAAAAGTGACCAGATCCCAGCACTGCTTATCCCATAACTATTGAAATTTTTACCCGATTTAAAAGTGGAATACCTCTCTGAATTTGTTTTTCGAATATCTATGTTATCTAGCTGCATTATTGGTTTATTTTCGAATTTTTGGTCAATGTTTCGTCATTTTTTATGACCCCCGACCTGTCAAAATTTGCAAAAAAAATGGGTTTGCAGAAAAGTGACCAGATCCCAGCACTGCTTATCCCATAACTTTTGAAATTTTTACCCGATTTAAAAGTGGAATGCCTCTCTGAATTTGTTATTAAAATATCTATCTAGCTACATCATTGGTTTATTTTCGAATTTTTGGTCAATGTTTCGTCATTTTTTATGACCCCCGACCTGTCAAAATTTGCAAAAAATGGGTTTGCAGAAAAGTGACCAGATCCCAGCACTGCTTAGCCCAAACTTTTAAAATTTTTACCCGATTTAAAAGTGGAATACCTCTCTGAATTTGTTATTCGAATATCTATCTAGCTGCATTATTGGTTTATTTTCGAATTTTTGGTCAATATTTTGTAATTTTTTATGACCCCCGACCTGTCAAAATTTGCAAAAAATGGGTTTGCAGAAAAGTGACCAGATCCCAGCACTGCTTAGCCCAAACTTTTGAAATTTTTACCCGATTTAAAAGTGGAATACCTCTCTGAATTTGTTATTCGAATATCTATCTAGCTGCATTATTGGTTTATTTTCGAATTTTTGGTCAATATTTTGTAGTTTTTTATGACCCCCGACCTGTCAAAATTTGCAAAAAATGGGTTTGCAGAAAAGTGACCAGATCCCAGCACTGCTTAGCCCAAACTTTTGAAATTTTTACCCGATTTAAAAGTGGAATACCTCTCTGAATTTGTTGTTAAAATATCTATCTAGCTGCATTATTGGTTTATTTTCGAATTTTTGGTCAATATTTTGTAGTTTTTTATGACCCCCGACCTGTCAAAATTTGCAAAAAATGGGTTTGCAGAAAAGTGACCAGATCCCAGCACTGCTTAGCCCAAACTTTTGAAATTTTTACCCGATTTAAAAGTGGAATACCTCTCTGAATTTGTTGTTAAAATATCTATCTAGCTGCATTATTGGTTTATTTTCGAATTTTTGGTCAATGTTTCGTCATTTTTTATGACCCCCGACCTGTCAAAATTTGCAAAAAATGGGTTTGCAGAAAAGTGACCAGATCCCAGCACTGCTTAGCCCAAACTTTTGAAATTTTTACCCGATTTAAAAGTGGAATACCTCTCTGAATTTGTTATTCGAATATCTATCTAGCTGCATTATTGGTTTATTTTCGAATTTTTGGTCAATATTTTGTAGTTTTTTATGACCCCCGACCTGTCAAAATTTGCAAAAAATGGTGTTCGCGCCAGAGCGGCGCTTTCCAGTCCTTTTTGAACCGCCCCTGGAGTCTTAACAGTCGTGAGAGCAGTTCTTCCAGATCACTTGCATCTCGCTCTCTGGCTCTGTTAAGGGTCTCCAATCCGCTCTCGGAGCGGCTCAAAAAGTTTCCACCCCGTAGTTTAAGTTAGTTCTAATTTCCAAGTGTGAGAGTGAAGTCGGACAATAAAGTGAATCTTTTATAACGTTGAACGAAAACTTTGCCCGCGTTATTAATTCTACCCCAAACCTAAAACCAAAATCGAGAAGGAAGGAAGACCCGCCGTATTTCACCCCAACATTTGGTCCTTCGAGCCGGATTTTCGACAAATACCAGCGACCACCGGCGGAGTTCTTTAAAGTTCAAGATAAGTACGAATTTTCCATATTTCCGTGGCCGACCAGTCAGATATTTCCCAAGATCCCAATTTTCTTATATGTATCTGTCTGATCGGCTAATTCCATTTGTGCATACGATCGCCATATTCCGGCTTCTTTTTCGTATTGCTATTTCCACCTTTATATGATCGCCATATTCCGGCTTCTTTTTTCGTATTGCTATTTCCACCTTTATACGATCGCCATATTCCGGCTTCTTTTTTCGTATTGCTATTTCCACCTTTATACGATCGCCATATTCCGGCTTCTTTTTTCGTATTGCCATTTTCCGGCTTTGCTCTCCTTATATTTCCCAATTTACATACATACATAAACACATAAAATCCAGATGTATGCTTTTTAATGTACGTACATATGCTTGACGGTCTCAACATATGTACATAAGGAGAAACATTTACACACTTCTATTCGCGGTATATCCAGCTAACATTTCGAGAGCGACATTTACAATACAGTCCACATTATATACAATTTCCAAAATTACAGCAAAAAGTGCAAAGAGAAATAAAAATAAATCCGAAATTAAAACTATTGTGTGGGCAAATATATTTTCCAGTGTGTGTATTCCAAGTGCATTTACATAAGCAGCAAGCAAGGAACGAAAGCTCTGCATATGTGCATTGCATGCGTCCAGCATTAAAATCAAAGAGCAATAATATAAATAAAGAGTGTTGTGCGTGCATATTTTCGTTGCCCACTGTGTTTCATTCCAAGTGCTTTTGACATCCAAGTATATATACATATGTACACGCACATATGTATGTCAAAGCCCAAATAATTATAGTGACACATATCAATCCAAACACACATATCCATACATACACACATATCCATACATACAATCATATAACCCAAATGCATGCTTATTAATGTACGTACGTACATATGCCCGTAACGTAAGGCGGTATACCCATTTCTAACGCAACATTTACACATATGCCCGTAACGTAAGGCGGTACACCCAACAAAGATTTCAAAAGCGACATTTACAACATAGCCAATATCATTTATAATTTATGAATAAAATATAAAATATAATAAAAAACAATTTATTATATATTATATATATTGCAAAATAACCCGATTCCACCGAACACAATTTATTACATTATACATATTGGAAAAATATCCTGAGTCCACTGAACACAATTTATTATATTATACATATTGGAAAAATATCCTGAGTCCACTGAACACAATTTATTATATTATACATATGGGAAAAATTTCCTGATTCCACATCAACACTATAAGCCGTTCCAACTTTTGCATGATATTTATTTCAGCAGCGCTATTTCGCACACGCCGTCGGCACACATCCATTAAATAAATAATAAATAAATAAATCCTTTTTGTGTAAGCCGTGGCGGTGCGAATCGTATTTATTTCCATATTCCTTGCGATCATTTCCGCAGCTCAGCAACCAACTGCAAATATTTTGCAAAACATTTTTTTGGTCGAATTTTTTGATATTTTGCTCGCACATCAAAGCAGTGGTTCCAAAAAAAAACTTTTGATTGGTACAACTGTTCCGTTTCCACATATTCCAAAAATAGACCGGAGCTGCAACGCTAAGAACGAACAAAAGCTGGACCACGTTTGTCGCCAACCGGGTGACAAAAATTACTCAGGTGACGAGCGCTGAGCATTGGGCGCATGTGCGATCCGAGCACAATTCCGCGGACCTGGCCAGTCGAGGCGTTTCGCTGCGGGAGCTGGTTCATAGCCAACTCTGGTGGGAAGGACCGGACTGGTTGCAACAGCCGAAGGACATGTGGCCAACACGGGAGCTAGGACCTCCAGTCACAGACATAGAGCAGCGTGCTGTGAAGGTCAATTTCGCCAAGGCCCCATCCGAAGATTTTTTGGAACGTTTCTCCGCGTTGGACAAGGCTCTGCGGGTCCTTGCGTACGTAATACGGTTCACTCAACGCTGCCGCAAGATGCCGAGGGACGCTGCTGAGCGACCCACCAAGGAAGAGGTCCAAGAAGCTGAAAGAGTCCTTATTCGAAATGCTCAGCGGGGAGAATATACCCAAGAGCTCAAAGTCCTAAACGATAAGCGTCCGATTCCAGTTTCCAGCCCGATAGCCAACCTGTTTCCATTTCTAGACCAACAAGGCCTGTTAAGGGCATGTGGGCGCATTACGGCCTCAACGGCCCTCCAGTACGACGAGCGGCATCCTATTATACTGCCATACAACTGTCGGTTAGCTCGTCTTCTCGTCCTTTTTTCACCCCAGATTTCCCTGCATGGCGGCAACCAACTAGTGGTACGCCTCATCCGATCGAAGTATTGGATTCCTAAAATCAAAAATCTGGTAAAAGCTGTGCTGAATTCCTGTAAGGTGTGTACTATTTACAGGAAGAGAGTCCAGACGCAATTGATGGGCGATCTCCCTACCGATCGAGTTTCCTTTTCCAGGCCATTCACATATACGGGCATGGATTATGCAGGCCCGTTTGAGATTAAAAACTATACGGGCAGAGCATGCCTTATTACCAAGGGATATGTCTGCGTGTTTGTGTGTTTTTCCACGAAGGCTATCCATTTAGAGCCTACGTCCGACCTGACAACGGAGAAGTTCCTCGCGGCATTTGCCCGATTCGTAGCAAGAAGAGGTTGTCCTCAGCGAGTCCATTCGGATAATGGCAAAACCTTTGTGGGGGCAGCGACTCTACTTTCTAGAGACTTCATGCAGACGATCAAGGAGTCTGTAGCTGGAACCTATAGCCATCAGGGACTTGTGTGGCGGTTCATTCCACCAGGGGCTCCACATATGGGAGGATTGTGGGAGGCTGGAGTAAAGAGCTTCAAGGCACTCTTTTACAAGTCGACGTCAAGTCGGAAGTACACGTTTGAAGAGTTCGCCACGCTTCTCGCCAAAGTTGAAGCCTGCCTTAATTCCAGGCCGCTGTCTCCCATGTCCGAAAATCCATCTGAGTTATTGGCATTGACGCCAGGCCACTTTCTGATTGGGGGACCTTTGCTTTCAACAGCTGAGCCTGAGATTAAGGGCGATGCTCAGTCGATTATAAATCGCTGGCAGCACTTAAAGGCCTTGCATCAGCAGTTCAGTGCGCGATGGAAGGAGGAGTACTTAAAGGAACTTCACAAGCGCAATAAGTGGCAGACTCCTTCCAGAGATATCCAAGTTGATGACATGGTGGTCGTCAAAGAAGACAACATGCCATCAAACGAATGGCGGCTCGGCAGAGTTGTATCTGTTCTTCCAGGAGCCGATAGTAGAGTTCGCGTAGTTGAGATCCGTACTGCTCGAGGGACTATAACACGTCCCATCCACAAACTAGTACTTCTTCCTATGGAGGACAAGGCAACCTCCGCCTTTCCAAAATAATGCATTCTGTCCTCCTTCTAGCACTTCTTTCTATGGAGGCCAAGGCAACCTCCGCTTTTCCAAACTAGTGCCTTCTGTCCTTATGCTTCAAAATCCGTCCACAATTGATACTAAGTTCGCTTATATTTTTTTAGTAAAGCATCGATACCATGGCTCCACGTCCTCGCAGCGCCCAAACTTTGGACGACAGACGATCCCGAGGTACTCGATCCTACCGCTGCCGAGTCTGTCGGGGAATCCATCCGCTACGGAAGTGCAGCCGTTTCCTCAGGCTCAGCACGGAGAAGCGGCTCCGCGCCGTTCTCATAAATAAATCTTGTGCGAATTGCCTGGCGCATCAGCACTCCGGAGGGCAATGTCGCAGTGGCGACGCATGCAAAAATGCGGGAAGGATCACCACACGCTGCTCCACCTGCACGAGATGCCAAGGAGTCCTCGACGAACGCCCATCCAGCCACGCCGCCAGTCGCCTTCCCCTCAACGCCGTCCAGCGCCCTTCGAGCAACGTCGCGCATCGACCGTTCGCCTGTCGAGATCAGTCTCCCGGTCTCCGTCACCACCAGCAAGGCAGGCACTGGTACGACGACCAGCTCCAGCGGCAACTCCATCCGTAGCGGCTTTAGCGCAGCACCAGAGCCTCCACATTCTCCCGACGGCCATCGTGTTGCTGGAATCTGGGACCACCACCTTCGAGACGGCCGCATTGATCGACCCGTGCACTCCCGTCAGCACCATCGACAGCTCCCTGGCAACTGCCTTCAAGCTCCCCACGACGACAGTGGGGGGTGAGGAGGTCTGCTCGACGACGATCCGGTCGAGAACGGGCGATTTCCAGATCGAGGTGCTCCTGAAGATCAGCCCGAAGCTACGCATCCGTACCCCGATCCGTGCGCTGACTGAAGATATGCGAGCCCAGTTCAACGATATCCGTCTTGCCGATGAGCAATTCCATCGCCCAGCAACAGTCTCGCTGGTGTTGGGCTCAGACGTATACCCCGACGTCATCCGGCCCGGGTTCCTAAATATACGAGATGGGCTGCCCGTCGCACAGAGCACGGTATTTGGATGGGTCTTGTCTGGAGCATGCAGATACGCCTAATCCGTTGCTTCGCTCGTCCTCGCAAGGGGGGGGAGAATGTTCGCGCCAGAGCGGCGCTTTCCAGTCCTTTTTGAACCGCCCCTGGAGTCTTAACAGTCGTGAGAGCAGTTCTTCCAGATCACTTGCATCTCGCTCTCTGGCTCTGTTAAGGGTCTCCAATCCGCTCTCGGAGCGGCTCAAAAAGTTTCCACCCCGTAGTTTAAGTCAGTTCTAATTTCCAAGTGTGAGAGTGAAGTCGGACAATAAAGTGAATTTTTTATAACGTTGAACGAAAACTTTGCCCGCGTTATTAATTCTACCCCAAACCTAAAACCAAAATCGAGAAGGAAGGAAGACCCGCCGTATTTCACCCCAACAAATGGGTTTGCAGAAAAGTGACCAGATCCCAGCACTGCTTAGCCCAAACTTTTGAAATTTTTACCCGATTTAAAAGTGGAATACCTCTCTGAATTTGTTATTAAAATATCTATCTAGCTGCATTATTGGTTTATTTTCGAATTTTTGGTCAATATTTTGTAATTTTTTATGACCCCCGACCTGTCAAAATTTGCAAAAAATGGGTTTGCAGAAAAGTGACCAGATCCCAGCACTGCTTAGCCCAAACTTTTGAAATTTTTACCCGATTTAAAAGTGGAATACCTCTCTGAATTTGTTGTTAAAATATCTATCTAGCTGCATTATTGGTTTATTTTCGAATTTTTGGTCAATATTTTGTAGTTTTTTATGACCCCCGACCTGTCAAAATTTGCAAAAAAATGGGTTTGCAGAAAAGTGACCAGATCCCAGCACTGCTTATCCCATAACTTTTGAAATTTTTACCCGATTTAAAAGTGGAATACCTCTCTGAATTTGTTATTAAAATATCTATCTAGCTACATCATTGGTTTATTTTCGAATTTTTGGTCAATGTTTCGTCATTTTTTATGACCCCCGACCTGTCAAAATTTGCAAAAAATGGGTTTGCAGAAAAGTGACCAGATCCCAGCACTGCTTAGCCCATAACTTTTGAAATTTTTACCCGATTTAAAAGTGGAATACCTCTCTGAATTTGTTATTCGAATATCTATCTAGCTGCATTATTGGTTTATTTTCGAATTTTTGGTCAATATTTTGTAATTTTATATGACACCCGACCTGTCAAAATTTGCAAAAAATGGGTTTGCAGAAAAGTGACCAGATCCCAGCACTGCTTAGCCCAAACTTTTGAAATTTTTACCCGATTTAAAAGTGGAATACCTCTCTGAATTTGTTGTTAAAATATCTATCTAGCTGCATTATTGGTTTATTTTCGAATTTTTGGTCAATATTTTGTAGTTTTTTATGACCCCCGACCTGTCAAAATTTGCAAAAAAATGGGTTTGCAGAAAAGTGACCAGATCCCAGCACTGCTTATCCCATAACTTTTGAAATTTTTACCCGATTTAAAAGTGGAATGCCTCTCTGAATTTGTTATTAAAATATCTATCTAGCTACATCATTGGTTTATTTTCGAATTTTTGGTCAATGTTTCGTCATTTTTTATGACCCCCGACCTGTCAAAATTTGCAAAAAATGGGTTTGCAGAAAAGTGACCAGATCCCAGCACTGCTTAGCCCAAACTTTTGAAATTTTTACCCGATTTAAAAGTGGAATACCTCTCTGAATTTGTTGTTAAAATATCTATCTAGCTGCATTATTGGTTTATTTTCGAATTTTTGGTCAATATTTTGTAGTTTTTTATGACCCCCGACCTGTCAAAATTTGCAAAAAATGGGTTTGCAGAAAAGTGACCAGATCCCAGCACTGCTTAGCCCAAACTTTTGAAATTTTTACCCGATTTAAAAGTGGAATACCTCTCTGAATTTGTTGTTAAAATATCTATCTAGCTGCATTATTGGTTTATTTTCGAATTTTTGGTCAATGTTTCGTCATTTTTTATGACCCCCGACCTGTCAAAATTTGCAAAAAAATGGGTTTGCAGAAAAGTGACCAGATCCCAGCACTGCTTATCCCATAACTTTTGAAATTTTTACCCGATTTAAAAGTGGAATGCCTCTCTGAATTTGTTATTAAAATATCTATCTAGCTACATCATTGGTTTATTTTCGAATTTTTGGTCAATGTTTCGTCATTTTTTATGACCCCCGACCTGTCAAAATTTGCAAAAAATGGGTTTGCAGAAAAGTGACCAGATCCCAGCACTGCTTAGCCCAAACTTTTGAAATTTTTACCCGATTTAAAAGTGGAATACCTCTCTGAATTTGTTATTAAAATATCTATCTAGCTGCATCATTGGTTTATTTTCGAATTTTTGGTCAATATTTTGTAGTTTTTTATGACTCCCGACCTGACAAAATTTGCAAAAAATGGGTTTGCAGAAAAGTGACAAGATCCCAGCACTGCTTAGCCCAAACTTTTGAAATTTTTACCCGATTTAAAAGTGGAATACCTCTCTGAATTTGTTGTTAACATATCTATCTATCTGCATTATTGGTTTATTTTCGAATTTTTGGTCAATATTTTGTAATTTTTTATGACCCCCGACCTGTCAAAATTTGCAAATAAAATGGGTTTACAGAAAAGTGACCAGATCCCAGCACTACTTAGCCCATAACATGTGAAATTTTTACCCGACTTAAAAGTGGAATACCTCTCTGAATTTGTTATTCGAATATCTATCTAGCTGCATTATTGGTTTATTTTCGAATTTTTGGTCAATATTTTTTAATTTTTTATGACCCCCGACCTGTCAAAATTTTCAAAAAATGGGTTTGCAGAAAAGTGACCAGAACCCAGCACTGCTTAGCCCATAACTTTTGAAATTTTTACCCGATTTAAAAGTGGAATACCTCTCTGAATTTGTTATTAAAATATCTATCTAGCTGCATTATTGGTTTATTTTCGAATTTTTGGTCAATATTTTGTAATTTTTTATGACCCCCCGACCTGTCAAAATTTGCAAAAAATGGGTTTGCAGAAAAGTGACCAGATCCCAGCACTGCTTAGCCCATAACTTTTGAAATTTTTACCCGATTTAAAAGTGGAATACCTCTCTGATTTTGTTGTTAAAATATCTATCTAGCTGCATTATTGGTTTATTTTCGAATTTTTGGTCAATATTTTGTAATTTTTTATGACCCCCGACCTGTCAAAATTTGCAAAAAAATGGGTTTGCAGAAAAGTGACCAGATCCCAGCACTGCTTATCCCATAACTTTTGAAATTTTTACCCGATTTAAAAGTGGAATGCCTCTCTGAATTTGTTATTAAAATATCTATCTAGCTGCATTATTGGTTTATTTTCGAATTTTTGGTCAATATTTTGTAATTTTTTATGACCCCCGACCTGTCAAAATTTGCAAAAAAATGGGTTTGCAGAAAAGTGACCAGATCCCAGCACTGCTTATCCCATAACTTTTGAAATTTTTACCCGATTTAAAAGTGGAATGCCTCTCTGAATTTGTTATTAAAATATCTATCTAGCTACATCATTGGTTTATTTTCGAATTTTTGGTCAATATTTTGTAGTTTTTTATGACCCCCGACCTGTCAAAATTTGCAAAAAATGGGTTTGCAGAAAAGTGACAAGATCCCAGCACTGCTTAGCCCAAACTTTTGAAATTTTTACCCGATTTAAAAGTGGAATACTTCTCTGAATTTGTTGTTAACATATCTATCTATCTGCATTATTGGTTTATTTTCGAATTTTTGGTCAATATTTTGTAATTTTTTATGACCGCCGACCTGTCAAAATTTGCACAAAAATGGGTTTACAGAAAAGTGACCAGATCCCAGCACTGCTTAGCCCATAACATGAGAAATTTTTACCCGATTTTAAAGTGGAATACCTCTCTGAATTTGTTATTCGAATATCTATCTAGCTGCATTATTGGTTTATTTTCGAATTTTTGGTCAATATTTTG